GGCAGAGCCGGGCTCCCGGTGTGGGCAGAGCCGGGCTCCCGGTGTGGGCAGAGCCGGGCTCCCGGTGTGGGCAGAGCCGGGTTGGGAGCTGGAGGCTTGGGGGAGGCTCGCACGTGACTGCGGCTCGGACAGGGACTGTCAGCAACTCCCTCCTTTCCCTTTCCTCCCTCCATCCCTCCCTCCCTCCCTCCATCCCTCCACCCACCTCCTCTGCTGGCGATGGCGGGCTGTGGACTAAGCGAAGACCTCCTCTTCTCCTCGTTTGTCTTCAGCTACATCAAGGAAAACCCGTTCGCGCAGCAGGTAAGGAACCAGGGAATAGCTGGAGGGAGAGAGCCGGGGGGAGGGTTTGTGGGGGAGAGAGGAGGGGAGGGTTTGGGAGAGGAGGGTTTGGGAGGGGAGGGTTTGGGAGGGGAGGGTTTGGGAGAGGAGGGTTTGGGAGGGGAGGGTTTGGGAGAGGAGGGTTTGGGAGAGGAGGGTTTGGGAGAGGAGGGTTTGGGAGAGGAGGGGAGGGTTTGGGAGAGGAGGGGAGGGTTTGGGAGAGGAGGGGAGGGTTTGGGAGAGGAGGGGAGGGTTTGGGAGAGGGGGGAGGGTTTGGGAGAGGAGGGGAGGGTTTGGGAGAGGAGGGGAGGGTTTGGGAGAGGAGGGGAGCCTGGACTGTCCAGCGCTCGCTGCCTGTTCGGTGTTGGATGCTCTGCTCTCACACAGTGCCCGGCGGGGGCGGGGAGGAGGCAATGAGAAAGGGCAACCTGATCGCGGTGAGTGGCGACCAGCTTTTGGCCGGCAACCCCTCCAGCCACGCCAACTTGTCAGCGAAAAACACTCGCTGGGGAAAAAAAATAGCCACGGGGTCTATTCCATCTGTTACTGTTGGACAGTGGGATCTTTATATTTGTCTTTCAATGCGAACAGCACTCGGGGCACAGCGCTGGTTGTCGGGGTCCGTGGGTTTGTGCGGACGGTACACACCGGCAACGTGGGATCTACTTGTAACCGAGTAACTAATAAGTGTTTTAAAGTGCACGGCGGCCAAGGCGGCACTTTAGGTCTCGCGGGCGGATCGGTTGGGTTTTTTCTCCCAAATGCAGAAATGACTGTCTTGTTGT